TCGACTAAGCGATACCCTGTTAGAGGGCATTTCTGTACATGCAATTAAATCAAATATAAATAAAATTGAAATTAACAAAAGCAGCTTTGAATTAGCTTGAACTATTCTCTGTGTTCTGTCAGATTGAAAAAAATAGAGCGGAATATTCCGAATTTTAAACACACTTCATATATTTTTATAGAGAATTCATACAATTTCTCCAACTCTTTATATATATACGAGTTTTGTCTAACAACGAGAAGTCGACATTGCGCGTCCAGCGATATTGCCTATATTATGATTATTTTAGCTTCGGAACTTTAATGTAATTAAAAAAGACTTTATGAGAAACTAAACCAAACATATTGAAAATAAACAACAGGTTCTAATCGAGAGTTTCCGACTACGGGATACTCTAAACTTATCATCCAACACCAAATGCAAATATATATTTTATTCTAGAAGCTACATGTTAAGTTTGGTGAAACTAGCTCTTATTTTTTGATCAAAATTGCCCAAAAGTCAGGATTTTGAAATATATTTTTATCGATTACTTGAAAACGGGGAAAGTTGTCGATTATCGGAAACAAACTTGATCTGCGCAGGCACTAGGAGGATTTATATCTAAATTTTCAAGTCGCTAGCACTAATAGGTTCTAATATCCTTGCGTTCATACATACGGACAGACAAACAGACGGACATGGCTAGATCGACTCGGCTATTGATGCTGATCAAGAATATATATACTTTATGGGGTCGGAGATGCTTCATTCTGCCCTTTACATACATTTACATCTCGCACAAATACAATATAGCCTATTTCCCCATTTTTAATGGGTCCAGGATATAAAAGGACATATATTAAATATATTAATAATAATAATAATATTAAAGCTTAAATATGGTATTTTTAAAATGAAAACCAAACCGAGTCGGAAGCTGTTAACACAGTCGAGAGACTCTACCTACCCTAAAGAATCTTAGCAAGTTTAACTGTTTTTTTTTTTGTTTTTGTATTTCATCAGAAAATCAATTTGATTTTAATTATTATAATTAACAGTCGGTTAAACAGAACCGAGAGACTGTGGCGCGTCTGTGGCACAATTCGTGCTAGTAAATAATTACAGTATATTCGAAATGCTGCTAAAAGTAATATAAAAATAAAATAATAGAGTGTGCGCTGAATTAAACGCGTATTTATTGGCTGCGGTTGAATTCATTTCAATTTTAAATTATGCGCGTAATTCTTGAATGCGGTTCCATTTTAGGCAAATGCGCACGAGAAAATTGTGCAGCTGGTTTAATGAGTTTTAAAGTGGCATTTAGGGGCCACAATTAATTTAAGTAAGTATACATTTACACAGACCATATATAATTATTTATCCTGATTGACGTATTGACTAACTGTCTGATTGATGATCAACGCATGGCCCAAGTCCAGCTCTCCCTATTACATAAAAGTAATTACCCATTTTGAGGTATTTCAAAACATCAATTTCACTCGCAAGCATGGAAAATAGGTGGTTGTATAAAACTTTTTATAACCCGAACCCATCGAAAATGTATAAAAGGGTTATGTTGGTTTTGGGCAAATGTATGTAACGGGTAGAAGCTAGCAATCTCCGGCCCCATAAAGCATATAAATACTTGGTTAGTCTGTCTGTCTGTCCGTCCGTTTGTATGAACGCAAGGATCTCAGAGTCTATAAGAGCTAGAGACTTGAAATTTTGATATTAGGTTCTCCAAGTTCCTGAACAATTCGAGTTAATTTCTGATAATCGATAACTTGCCCCGTTTCCAAGCAATCGTTAAAAATCAATATCGCAATACGGTTTTTTGAGTAAATCTCGTAGGTTTCAAGAGCTAGAGTCACCTAATTTGAGATGTAGCCTCTAGAATAGTGCATACAGATTAAATATCTTTTATTCAGGGTATCTCCTGGTCGAACACTGGCGACTAGAGCTAGAGCGGTTAAAGCGCTTACATTTAAATTCTTAAAAATTCATTATAACATAATTTGATGTTAGTGAGAGGTTAAATTTGTAATTGTTATCAAAGTGAACTCACCTTCATAGAGCACCGCCAACTAGAAACTGCTGCGCCAAGGATTCACAGTTGTTAATAATGCTGACTTACGCTTGGCCTGGCCACAAAACTGTTGCAATTGTTGATTAGACTGCAGGTACATTGGCTTTTCAATATATTCCCGTTTGTTGAATGCTTTTCAATTAGACCCGAAAACAGAAATCAACTCAACCGAACTGAAATTTCACTTCAAACTGCAATTAAGCACTTTTATTATGCGCTGATTACTTTTTATTGTTGTGTTTAGTGTGTGTGTGTGTGAGTGTGTGTGTGCTGTGCTGTCTGTTGCATACAAAACAAATATTTGTTAAACAATGCACACACACACACACACATTTATGCTAATATTTGCACAAGCAGAACAACAGACAACTGCATTTCGCTGGCCAAGGGTAAATGCTATTCGACAGATTGCGCATACGCCGCGTATGCGTTGCCCTTTGAAATCGCGCTAATGGCATTTCAATAACGCGCCTGCAACCGCAGCTCTTTTACAGCAACATTTTACGAATTTTAAATCAATCTGTGTGCGGCTGCGACATGTTGAATAAAACATTTAGCAGCAACCATTGAATTATTCAAAATTCATCTGACACGAAAACTTCAGAGAGCAGCACAGACATCATGTGGGCAAATCGATTTTGCATGCGACAGGCATTTTAGGCTCGACTTCTAATGAAAAAGTTCGTTTTATCACTCACCAACTTTTCTGGCACGTCAACACACAATTTGGCCATAAATAAAATATAAATAAAACTAAACGCAAAAGCCTTGCAGCACATGTGGCAAATGTTTGAGTTATTTGCACCACAAGCATTTCCTGTAAAAATCTAAAATCGTGCGCTTCACAGCAAGGCTATAAAGTTAAGAAAATTGACTCAAAGAACATAGTTTAGTTGCCACAAAAAGCCTTTGAAATAGTTTTACGTCTACTTGTTAGTCTACTTAAAATTCGAGGCTGAATAAACTTTGCATTCGTGGTTCAGTTAGGCAACACGTTTAGTGAGATCTTCACAAGATAATTGTACTCTCATATTATTTAGCTAGAGTCTTAAACTGTTTCCTCATTTGCGAAGCTTGAACTTGTTGAGAATTACAAGTGTCAAACGTGAGATCTATAAAGTGAAAGCTTTATTAACATAAAGCTTCCTTACGCAGACATTGCCTTTATCGTATTTATAGTGCCAATATAATATTGACTTAGATTTTCAATAAAACTATCTTCTATGTGACTCTTCTTTATTTACTCTGACTCTTCTATTATTTATTGGATTGTTCTTCTAAACATTTTGTTTTTATATTTTCCATTTATTAATTTGTTTTCTTTAACATACATTTTTTTTGTCCTTTGTCCATCTCAAAAAGCTTTCACCGTATTTAAAAAACTATCCACCAAAAGTTAAAAAGTAGCCCTGAATATGACCTTCGATTAAGACTCCCGACCGAGTCCGCAACCTTGTCGATTATTAGTCTGAATAACTGAGGTGCACTCGAAAAAAACCTGATGCCACAAAAATATCCCACTTAAATGCAAATGGAATACATATAAAAAGTTTTTGATGTGCCACCAAAGCCTGTCAGAGAAATCTCAACAAAAGATTTTTGTTTTTAATGCGAACTTAACATTATTTTATGACATTGAAAGTCGTTGTTGATGTGCACGACGTGCCTTTTTTTTAAGCCTTTTTTCAGGCAGAGAGAGCCAAGAGTGGCAAAGAGCGAAAGAGAGCGTTATGCACTTGTATTGGTTACCTGTTACATGCTATATGCGACCGTTAGATCTCGCAGCTTGTGTAACGGTCGCTGGTTAGAATGTTCGAAATTCGAACTTGAAATCGTAAATTTCAAATATGCAAATTCGCTGGTTGATAAATGAAAAAATGTTGTGAAAATTTGTGAACTGGCAACATTGGAGACTAAAGGCGTAAGAAAAGGGCACCATTGAGGGGACAGACACACACACACACACAGAAGCACACACACACACGCACAGTGGCAAATGTACATGTATCCTCGGAACAAGCACATAAAAATGTAATACTTTTGCTTGACGATGATGATGATATTTTCTGATATTTTCATTACATTGTTGTGCTTTTACGACTGTTATCCTTGAGTGAAGAACTTGCTACAGGATGCTAAAACCAACACACACACACACACACAGTCGTCCACAGTTACACTCACACACACACACACGCATGTGCGAGGTGAGCGAGCTTTTTCACCTAATGTCTGAACCGTTAGTTTTTGAGAGACTGCCAGAGAGTGGGCAGAATTTTCACCTTCGCACTTTACGGTTTTTTTTTTTTGACAATTGAAATTTTTTATTAATTTTTGAATATTAGAATTTTTTTTTAATTTTTGTTTGAATCTTTTCGAAACTTTTCGCACTTGACACACACGATCAGCACTGATTTAATTTTTTTTAATACCACTGCTTCGGTAAAATGTTGAGTTTCAGCAAAATTATGAATAAATTTTTTAAATATTTACAAACGCGCCTTGAGAGCGTGTGCACAACACACGAGATGTTGTTCCGTCGCTCGTTGGATTTCAACTGAATGCTAACAAGTACACGACAGCCTAACCGCGCACAACTACATTTGCAGTGGGCATGCGAGCTTTTTTACACGGACCTCCGACGCGTGGGTGGCCGCGAAAGAGCGAAAGTTCCAAAGAGACAAATTGTAACGTTGCAATGCAAGACAATAGAAACAACATGATTTTCGGCTTTTACTGTTACTTTCGGCTTTAACTTAATGTACATTGTTAGCACTTTATAGATTTGTCCAATATTAAACAAGAAACAATTATTCACTTCTATACTTCTTAAAACCAACATGACGCACAAATAAAACGGTAAATCCAGCGATGCATGTAACTATCGATAATGGGAAACTATCGAAAGCAAAAAAAATGTGTAGCCCTAGAAACTGAAACGTTTATCAGCCCTCGTCATCAATGAAAAACAAATCGCTTGCATTATTTTAGCAAACTGAATAAAAACAATGTCCGACGCATATGCATATGCTGCCAAAAGCAAACTTAAGCTTAAAAGCGATAACGAACTCAAGAAAAAAAAGAAGAAACACAAGAACAAGGACAAGGAGAAGAAGAAGGATGCACTGCAGAGAGCGTTCGTCGAACAACAAATGATTGAAACTGTAAACGGAACTGCCGCAGCCTCGACCAGCGGCTACGAGCGTAAGCTAACCAAAGCGGAGCTGGCCACCAAGAAACAGCAGGAGAAGATGCGCAACAAACGCATCATGGACAAGGCGCAGACGACGCATAAACAGCGCGTAGAGAAATTCAATGAACATCTGGACACACTCACCGAACACTTCGATATACCCAAGGTGTCCTGGACGAAGTAGAAGGCGTCGCATCTGCTTAATTGTAATCTAGCTGTAAAACATATAATCTATATATATAAAACTATCCCGTGGCTGATTCACTAATTTCTGTTTACCTCTTGTGATGCAAGTATTGGGCAACCGCACAGATTGGGAGCGTTCCTTCATTGAAGCTGAACGAAAGAATGCTGCTTGGAATACTTATATCTGTGAAAGATCTTGGAAATGACGGTGTCAGCTATATTGTACCATATAGCTACATTTTACCATTTCCGCAAGCAACATTAAAATTTAGGTTCAAACATTTCCAAGTGTTATATATATTAAGCATAATTTTGACTATATTATGGGATGAGGCCAATATAAATGGCAGCATTAAACTAAATACGTTTATGGTAATAGTTACATAAATATACAAAAAACAACTTAATTGAGGGTGTCTTAGATGTTTCCAACATTCAGTCCATGAAAGCAAAACAAGGCTACTTGGCTAAGATATTGCTTCACTGTGGCGTCATCAGCTCGAGCATGGCATATTTCCAGGTCCAGGCGCGCACCAGCTGCTCGAAACGCGAACGTTCATGCTCATAGATATAGCCCAGCTCCGGCTCCATGCATACCTCGGTATACGGATCGGTGAGGAGACTCTGCACGGACAACAAAACTTTGGCCACATTCAGGGCCAGCGACCAGTTCTGTTGCTGGAATATGTCAATGCCGACATCGCCATGTCTGGACACATTCGGATGCAGTATTTTGGTTAGAAAACGCACCGTTGGCGGTGCCATGGGATAGCGTTCAGGAAAGTATATAAATAGAAAGAATTTGCCGCCCTCGTAGGGACTGCCAGGCGGTCCAAGTATCGTTGCCTGCCAATAATTATTCTGGCGATCTAATGGTATGGCCGAAATACCCTCCGCTTCGTAGCTGTGCAGTATATTTGCCTCACCGCGCAGAAAATTATTGCGTATCACGTTTCCCAGCTCACCAGACGGCGGCGACTGGCTGCCCAGCTCAATCAAACAGGTGCGACAGAAACACGCTGACATCAATGCACCATACAGCTTGTACCAGTCCGGCAGCTCGGTGAGGCATTCGAACAGCGGCCAGCGCTGTTTGATGTATGTCTTCCACATGCTCTGTGCCGTGTTCTTCACTATGATCTCGTGCCACTGCTTGCACACCTCGCTGGCCATCCACAGCGACATGTCGTCCAGGTAGGCGAATATCTTCAGCATAACCTCGACGGGTATGCGACTGGTGATGCATTTGCTGCTGCTGCTGCTGCTGCTGCCGCTGCTGCCCGCATCCGGCGCGTTGTACTCATGTGCACGGGCACGTCCATCGGCCAGCTCGAGCATGTAATGCGGCAAGGCAAGCGGCGCCGTGGGTCGTGGCCTTTTGATGGGCAACAGAAACGGATTGACCGCACGTTCATGTTCGAAATCACGCTCTGGTGTGCCGCGTCGCGCTGGCACTGCTTGCAGTTCCAACAGCGGCTCTGGCGCTGCCTGTTGCTGTGCTGCTTGCAGTTCCTGCAGTTCGTGCTCCGGCTCTTGGTTTGCCGCTTGTTGTTGTTGCTGTTGTTGTTGTTGCTGCTGCTGTTGTTGTTGTTGCTGCGGTGCGGGCGGCTCCGCGTCCTCAAGATCTTCAAAGCCCATTATGTCCGCATCATTCTCAGTTTCATCATCCTCTTGCTTGTCCTTAAAAGGCGGTTCGTCATTGCCCGAGTCCTCGTCGTCGGACAATTCTGTCAATAGCTCCTCGGCGCGTTGTGCGTTGTATAAAAATGCATGACAAGCGCCGCAAAGCGGTTCGCCGAAATTGGGTCCATAATAGCCATTGCATACCCAGCACGCGTTGCTGTTCTGCAGTGGAAAACACACATGCATTATTAGGCATGGTTTTTTTTTGTTTTTTTTTTTTTTATATACACACCGAAAAGCAAAATGTTGGCTCTGTAAGCAATTGTTTATCTTTGTCTTCCTCCTCCTCCTCGGCGATGTCGTCTGTTTCGTTCATTTCATCATCGCTGGCATTTAATTGCTCCAGCAACTGCTCCTGTTCCTTTTGCTGCTGCACGCAGCTAGTCATTTTCCTGGTGCACTGAAATTTCTTCTAACAAAAAATAATCCCAACCGATGCCTTTCTCGTAATGCAACGTTAAGATACTTGATGAGGCATCGATATAATATCGATACCGATAACAAAAGTTTGGCTTATAAAAATGGAGAAGGTAGTTTTTGTTTACAGGCTGATGTGACGTCACAAGCTACGAAAATGGATATGGTTGAAGTATTGCATTGTGAAACTGTAAGGTTCATGTGACTTAAAATTCCTGCATGGCTGGAAACATTAAGATAATTTTATATATATGTAAACTTTTATACGTTAAAATGTAAATCTTCATATAGGTTAAAAGGCCTTTGATTTCAGGTCTCATTTTTCAAGTGCAAATTGTGATTGTGACGTCATGAAGCAACAGTCGATATTGACGTCACTTATCGATAACTTGTCTGTCTGTCAGCTGCAGCGCCACACGTGCGATAATTATAAAATTACGCCAGCAACAAAATGAAGCAGAAAAAGAAGCTGGGTTAGCTACAATTCGTTAATAATGTGTATATTTTATTAAAGTTTATTTACTTGCATGCGCCGCAGCTGTCGGTCTCAGTCGCGAGGAGCGTCAGGTGCTTGTCATCGGTGAAATCATACAGGAACTACTAAAGGCACACGAAGACAAGAAAGATGTGAATCTGAATCGCATGAAATCGCTAATATCATCGAAATATGGACTGGACAGCTCGCCGCGACTTGTGGACATCATAGCAGCCGTGCCGCAGGATGCCAAGAAGATACTGCTGCCCAAGCTGCGTGCCAAGCCCATACGAACCGCAAGCGGCGTAAGAAAATAACCCACAAACAAATATAAAATAAACTCTTGCAGAGGTTAAAATTATAAATATTTGTAGATTGCCGTGGTGGCTGTCATGTGCAAGCCGCATCGCTGTCCGCACATCAATTTTACGGGCAACATTTGCGTCTATTGCCCCGGCGGACCGGACAGCGATTTCGAGTACTCCACACAATCGTATACGGGCTATGAGCCGACCTCAATGCGCGCCATACGGGCACGTTATGATCCATTCCTGCAGACACGCCATCGCGTCGAGCAGCTTAAGCAGCTGGGCCACTCCGTGGACAAAGTGGAGTTCATTGTGATGGGCGGCACATTTATGGCCCTGCCGGAGGAATATCGTGATTACTTTATACGAAATCTGCATGATGCTCTCTCTGGGCACAGCAGCGCTAATGTTGCGGAAGCGGTGCGTTATTCCGAGAAGTCCCGGACCAAATGCATTGGCATCACAATTGAGACTCGGCCGGATTATTGCCTGAAGCGTCACATCTCCGATATGCTGAATTATGGCTGCACACGCCTGGAGATCGGCGTGCAGTCCGTCTATGAGGATGTAGCCAGGGACACAAATCGTGGTCATACGGTGCGCGCCGTTTGCGAGACATTCAACATGGGCAAAGATGCCGGCTACAAGATTGTCACACACATGATGCCCGATCTGCCCAATGTGGATTTTGAGCGCGACATTGAACAGTTCATCGAGTACTTTGAGAATCCCGCTTTTCGCTCAGATGGCCTCAAAATCTATCCCACACTTGTCATACGTGGCACTGGGCTCTACGAGCTGTGGAAAACGGGTCGCTACAAGTCGTATCCACCCTCGATGCTGGTCGATTTGGTGGCCAAAATACTGGCTCTGGTGCCACCCTGGACACGCGTCTATCGTGTTCAGCGTGACATACCCATGCCTCTGGTTAGGTAAGTCTTTAAATCCCTAACAGAACTAACCACATATAACAATTCACGTCTACGTCCGCAGCTCGGGCGTGGAGCACGGCAATCTGCGTGAATTGGCTCTGGCGCGCATGAAGGATTTGGGCACGGTTTGCCGGGATGTACGCACACGCGAGGTCGGCATCCAAGAGATACACAACAAGGTTCGTCCGTATGAAATCGAGCTGATAAGACGCGATTATGTGGCCAACGGCGGTTGGGAGACGTTCATCTCATACGAGGATCCCGAGCAGGATATACTTGTGGGCCTGTTACGCTTGCGCAAATGCTCACCGGACACCTTCCGGCCGGAACTGCAGGGAGAGTGCTCCATTGTGCGCGAACTACACGTTTACGGCTCTGTAGTGCCGGTCAGCTCACGTGATCCAACCAAGTTCCAGCACCAGGGCTTTGGCACGTTGCTCATGGAGGAGGCGGAGCGTATTGCCCGCGAGGAGCATGGCAGCACAAAGATCGCGGTCATCTCGGGTGTCGGTACGCGCAACTATTACCGCAAACTGGGCTACACCCTAGACGGCCCCTACATGTCCAAGTCACTCTCAAAACAATACAATTATCGCTCTTAATTTGTCACCTAGATATATGTATATAATTATTATATAATGCTTGTTGTTCTGGGCTTGAGATAAATAGATATATTCCTTATTGAAGAAAGGAGCCGACCGCATATATTATTAACCAAGAGGGAGTTATATGATAAAGTATGCCTATTGGGATAATTGTATATTTTCAATCACGTACTCACCTCCAAATTCACATGCGCGAATTTTTTATCAGTAGACGAACCCAATATAAAAGCTCCCTTCTCCTCCATAGTTGAAGCCGCCTCCTCCTTAATTGAAGTCCACAGTTGCAGCCGCTTCCTCCTTAGTCAAAGTCGATTCCTCTATTGTTGGAGCCGCCGGCTCCACAGTTGAAGCCGCTTCCTCCTTAGTTGAAGCCGCCGCCTCCTGCTGTGACTTACTTAAATTTATGAGAATCGCGTAGAAGAGCGTTAGTTAAGAATTCGTTTGATTTTGAATTTGCGCCGCAGCGAGAGGTAAGCTTGATCTTAAATATAATCATACAAAATATATGCACACATTATATATATATAGGATATATATATAGGATATTTAAAGGTTAAGAATCAAGTATAATGTTGCCAGATTTAGATATTTTATATATAGAGAAGAGATATCTATTTTCTATATCTTATTTCTAATACTGCTTTTCGTGAAGCGAACCAAAACGATTTCTTTGAACATTCTTGTTATGATATTACCTGAATGAAATTCATTTATTATGATAGTCAATAGGCATAGTGTGGGGCAGTCAAAGAATTATGATTATGAATATGAATATATATATAGTTACAATTCTGGCTAGACATTATCGTTCCGACCATTCATTTAAAAATCGTAAATACTTGGGCTGTCTGGAAAAGCCTAATTATAAATAATATTTGTATACGTAGAAAACTAATTAGTTAAACGGTAAGAACTATTTTTTTGGCAGTGCCTCCTCGTCCGTGGGATCACAATCGGCACAGTGCCAGGAGTAGCCGCGTATTTTGGGCGATTTCTTGAGCGGCGGCTCGAGGCACGCGAAATGATAGTGCTTATGGCACTCATCACAGGTCACAACCTGATTGGGCTTGCCGGTCTGCGTGCAGACACAACAATTGATTTCCACATTAACCTTGGGATTGGAGACGCGTGGCCTGCCCACACGCTGTTTGCGCGGCGTCGACTTTCGTGGGCTAACCTTGCGCTGTGGCGATGCCGTCTCCTTGGCCTTTTGTGGCGTGCTTATGGCAGCATGGGGCGTTATTACTGTGGACACCAGGACAATGGGCGTGGTGGCGGGCTGCTCCGGTTGTATGACATCCTCAACAGTCTCCACGGAGGTGGGTCGGGACGCTTCGTCCACGGAGCGCACCGCATTGGCGGGTACATAAAAACTGCGCGATTCGGGCGCATCTTCGCCGGGCAAACGCAGCGTCTTGAAGATAATCTTAATGGGTCGCCCGGAGTTGGCATTGTCCAAGGCGCTGCTCTCATCGGCATGTGCGCGCTTTTTACGCTTGCGCTTGTGCTCCTTGTTGAAAGACTTTTCCGTATCCGATGACAAATTGTGCTTGTTTTTGTGCTTATCTTTGCGCTTGCCCTTGCGCGACGACTGCTTGCCACTGGAGTCGTCGATGGAGTCCTCGCAGCCGGACAAGTGCGCAACGGTGGCGACTGCTTGTGGCAACGTCAGCTCCATGTGGGCCACTGCGGCTTGCACTGTGAAGAATTTAGGCAGTTAGTAAAGATTAGGACAACAAATGCTACTTACCATTGACAGGCGTCTTGCGCGGCGACTGCAGCTTGCTGCGCTTCGGCGACTTGGCTAGATCCTCGCCAGCCTCAAGAGCAACGGGCAGCGTTTTGTTGACCGCACGCTTCAGCTGCTGTGGCGTCTCCTTCGGCAAATCGTCCAGCGAGTAGCGTTCGACATAGACCAAATGCCCGTCCTTGTTGAAGCGCGTGCGCGATTTGCGCGGACCCGGTGAGATTTCGGTGACCGCATCGGATACATCCGATTTGTCACAGCACTCGGAGCACTGCCAGCCATACTGTTTAGATTTTTTGGGCGGACGCGTCAGCGGCGGATTCAAGCAACCCAAATGATAATGCAGATTGCAGGTGTCGCACTTGACCAGCAGATGCTGATCGTTGTTGCGCTTGCATATGCCGCAGCTGACGGCGGGCACAATGGTCGCCGCCTTGCTGGTGTGCAGCTGGGATTGCTGGGTGCTCAGCAGACGGGAGTTGTCCAGCTTGTTGGCCAGATGGGCGAGCGGAAAGCCAACGCCCATTTTAAGCGCTGCCGCTGTCGGCACCGAAATGGGCCGTTGCGTTGGCGTTGGCGGCGTCGTTGCCAATTTGGGCAGCTGCTCCGGCAGCGGGCGTGCAATCAGCTCCACATGGGGCAGGCCAGCGCTGAGGCCAGGCGACAGCTGCGCCAGGCTATTGTGCAGCGCTTTGATAGATGCCATCAATGCATCGCGCTGAGCTTTCACCAGTTTGCGTTCCTCCAGCGCGCTGTCATATTTGGCGCGCAGCACATCCTGCGCCTGGCTGAGCGCGGAATTGTGCTGCAGAAGTTGCTGTTGCTGCTGCTTGAACTCTGACATGCGCACTATGCGATCCATATAGTAGGCTGTGAATTCTACGCTAAAAGCGGGCGCTATATGCCATTTTTTGCGTATGTCCTGCAGGGCCTGAATGTTCGCCTCGCGCTGCTCCAGATGCTGCACATCCACGGCCATGAACTCCGCCTTGGCCAACAGACGCCGGCAAGCGGAGGCGGAACTGGTCAGCAGACGTGACATCTTTTGCGTGGGCACCCACGGCGTTGGCTTCAGTTGTTTGTGCTGCGCGTATTTGTGCTGAATCTTCAGAAGCTTGCGCTGTATGCGCGCCTGGGCTGGATTGGGATTAGCCTCGATCAGCTGCTGCTGGAGCAGCGCCCGCTGCTTGGCCTGCTGCAGCATGTTTAGCCGCAGCGTATGATAGTTGCGACGACGCTTCTTAATCATCTCCTTCTCCGAGTGCACCTTGCAGTGGGCATAAAACGGATCCGCCGCATCATCCTCATGATGTGCCTCAATCAGATAGCCGGCGACCTGTGCGCACGTCACATGGAAATACGTCTTGCACATGCCCGCATCGCAGCCAATGCAGACGCCTGTGCGCGCAAAGAGCGCATTGTCACACAGGGAGCACAGCTTGGCGCCCCATTTGCTGTACTGCATTTCGAAGAGCGTCACCGAGCTGAGCTGTTCCACCTCGCCAAATGCCACGCCCGGCACATACAGTGCGCATATCAGGTGCACCCATTTGCCCACATCTGTCTCCTTGTAAATGCCGCCCTTGTTCGGGCACAGCTCACAGTCTGGCTCCGAGACACCCGCACGGCATGCCTCACAGAACCAGGGCTCCGTGGAGCAGGTGGAGTTTGTGCTCGAGATGCTGACATTGTCGCTGACACCGTAGCAGCCCTCGTGCACGGAAACGCCACACGCATCGCATTCGACAATCTCGTTCACATCGTCGCTGCGCTCGCCCAAGCACACGCAGCACATCCGCTTTGGCGGCGCTACCGGCTCAATGTTGAAGCCATTCACACGTGGGGCGGGAGCAGCGGGTGCGGCGGTAACAACTGCTGCTGCTGCTGCTGCGGCCTCCTGCTGTGCATTGTTCTCGGCTAGCAGCTGGCGCAGCTGAAGCGTCGAATCGTCGCTTTCATCGCCGGAATTTGCATTTGCATCGCTATCGCTGCTGTCGCTGCTGCTGGCGTCGCTGCTGTCGCCGTCGCCGTCGCTTTCGTCCTTTGATCCATCCGAACAGTTGTCAATGTCGGGCAGAAAATCGCTGTCCGATGAACTTTCACCCAAATCAAAATCGAGCAACGCCTGTGTTGTTATTTTTGGTTGGCGTACCCGTTTAAATGGCGCCATTTAATTATAAATTTGTGATTTTTCTCGCAAAATGTAAGAAAAATCGTGCAACGTAATAGAGCTGGACCACTATCGATATCAATATCGTTTGTCAGAGAATCGATATTAACACATCCCTATTGCACGTATGTTGGCCATTGCTTGCAGATACAATTTTTGACAGTGTTGCCAGCTTCTGCCTTTTCCCGCCAAATCTGGCTATTTAAAATGCGCTTGCGGCAATATTTAAAAAAAATGTTAGCCTTGTTTTTTACAAAAACTTGACAACACAGATGCAGTTTTTTATAATTTTATATATAAAATTGTTTATTATTAATATTATAACTAAAATCTAAAAGACCTCCAATTGCTCTATGGGCAGCCATTTGGAGCTTTCCAAAGCATCATATAGATGTCGATCTGAATCAATTGTCTCCCGATTAAGTTTCTCCACGTCCAGCACAAACTTGTGCTCCTCCAGACCGTAGTCCTCCTCAGCTGCAGCAGCGCTATTAAGCGGTGCACTCTGTTGTTGCTGCTGCTGCTCATATTGGGCGCTGCGCTGGGCGCTCCAAGCCTCCGCATGCTGAGCGAGAGTCTGCGGATTCGAGTGCGACTGGGACATGGCTTGCTGATAGTAGGCAGCAGCATCCGTAATTGAAGGAGCAGCGCCCTGCTCATAATAGCCCTGCCAGGCATTATAGCCCTGCCAGTAGGTGCTGGTTGGATCGTAATATTGCGAGTAATCGGCGCCGCCAGCACCGGTCGAGGATGTTGAGGTTGTGCTGGGGCCGCCGTAGCCATAGCTACTGCCACCGTTGCCCAGTGCGGCGCTCAGCTCAGCCTTTGGCTTGGGCACTGCATTACAGATCTTAATGGGTTTGGTACCCAGGCCAACATAGCCGTTCATGTCGTATAAGGCCGACTTTTGCTCATCCTCGATGCCAAAGCGCACAAAGCCGTAGCCCTTGGAGAAGCCCAGACTGTCCAGTATTACCTTGGCCGTTTTGATCGATGTGTATTTGCTGGAGAAGACCTTGTACAACGAATAATCATCCACGTCTGAGCTGAGATCGCCCACCCAGACGCTAAATTCACGCTCATTACCTGGCAATTTATATGAATTGCTCGCAGAGTTCAGACGAAAACGGACAATGGGATTTGTGCCGGGTATGGGTTTGCCATTTAGCTTGTGCATGGCATCCAGCGCATGATCATCCGATATGAAATTCACGAAACAATATCCAGCCGGCTCGCCAGTGTATTTGTTGCGCATGAGACGCACCGTGGTGGGATCTTCGCCCATTTTGCGAAATGCGGCAATGATGAAGTTTTCCGTCATGTACGATTCCAGCTGCAACCAAGTCCCAAAGGTATATTGTAATGTTCGGGAGTTGGAAATGCATTACTTACGCTGCCCATCCATAGTTGGCAATGTACAGATGTCATATTGTCGCTGTTTTGTAAATAAATTGACATGAAACTCACGCGTAAACAAATTCTAGAATAATTTGCTTAGCCACAGAGTTGCACGACATTTGGCTTATCGATAACAAGTGCTGCCCCAACGTTTTGAGTTTTCATAAAAAATGTAAGCACAGCAAACAAAAACATCTGGCAGCTCTGTAGACAGTTCATATTTGATTTTTGACAACTTATCACAATATTCCGCTGAGATGCGTATAAGTTTTGCCAGTTTTGCGGCTTTTACGGCTAAACTAAAGGAAGTGCGCATTATATTAGATCCAAAATGTGATGCTTCCAAGGGCGCCAGGTTTATTGCATAGCATCTTTCACTCCATAGTTACATAATCTAATAAAAACCAAAAATTCTGACAGGGAATATATTCAGAAATTTTATCCCAATCTGAAAAGGCACAATCCCAACTTGGCCTTCTTGGTAAGAGAATGCGCCGGCGTGCATCCGAGACTATGGGCACGCTATGGTAAGTAGTGATACCAAGTATCTTAAATATATATTGTATCCAATTGCAATTCAGGCAAAGGCAAGGAAGTCTCAATCTCGCTGAGAAACCAATCCGCTCCAGACATACAGAAGCACTTGGAGGCGGTTGGCAGATGAAGCGACCAGAAGAGTACAGAGAGTTGTATAATGGCATCAATTGTAGGCTAAATTAAAGACAGTGAATGCTAATAACGCACACACATCTGTATTTAGGCTTAGTAATTATACTAGGTACACGGATAAGCGACAATGGTCAAACATACAAATTAATTGATAAATGGCGGCAGGCCGAACTGTTCGGGCTTGAAGTCCTCCAGAGAGCGCAACACCTGGGTGGCGTGGGCGCAACGCTCCTTTGAGAGCCGTTCGTCGGGCACCATTACCACCTGCATGCCGGCGCTGTTGCCCGCCTCGACGCCATTCGGTGAATCCTCGAACACCAGACAGTTTTTCGGCTCGGGCTTATCGCTAAAACGGCTGGCGGCCACCAAAAAGATATCTGGCGCCGGCTTGCCATTCTTCACTTCGCTGTCCGAGGAGCCGCACACGCGATGATGGAACAGATCGAACAGCTCGCGATGATGTGTGCTCTTCAGCTCGACCATCTCGGCGCCGGAGCTGGTGGCCAAGGCAAAGGGCACCTTGTTCGCATGCAAATGACGCAGCAGCCGCTCAGCACCTGCAATGGATTAGAATAACATTTTAGTATTATGTATTGAAAATGGGTTGCGTGCGAATGTATATCGACAGGCAGGCAGGCAGAAGGTGGCATCTGCGAATCTTCTAGGTAGTAAGAGCTAGACATGATGTTGAATCGTTTACTTGTGAGTCTAGGAACACTTTCCCTAATTATAAGAAATAAAAGATATAACTTTCAAATTAAAAGCCAAGTTCCTTAAGAACTTCACGCTCGGACAACCCACAACTAGGAGCTCTACCTTGAAGCCAATTTAGAGATCCAGTACGAAAGCAAAGGCAATTGGCAAATGGACGACATGAACGTTATATGGGTGTGTATACTGGTTCCGATCTCTACGCGTATATGGCTTTAACGGAGGAGGTGCTAACCTTTCAGCAGCGGCACATTGTGCAGCCGGTCGCAGCACATTTTGTGATAGCGCTGGAGAAAATCACCGACGGTTATGGGCAATTGGCATTCTTGGACGGCTATTTCGGCGGATCGTTGTTCCGTGGTGCCCATGACTCTGAAACGCACCGCCTCGGGATAGGGGCGATTGAAGGTGCCAGCTATTTGCCTGGTGATCTCCTCGTAAATGCGTTCAGTGTCTGCAAGGATAGTTGCGAATAAAGAATCAATAATTAGTACCTGGCATCAATTTGGCATCGCGCATAAGGGCGCGTGCATTGTCCGTCTGTTGTTTGGCGTACTCTTCCCATGTCAACGGTAGGTCATAGCATTTAATCATAAACTCGGCCACCGGACGCGTCTGCAGACCCATTATCTGCTGCTTCACATCGAACGTGTACGTCTTGCCATACGGATCGAGCACCAATTGGGCGGCCTTCGTGTAGAGGGTCTCAGTGTCTGGTTAGAAGCATGTGTAAACTATGATATATCCCATAATGATCCAACACTTACCCAGCAGCAGACCATCCATGTCGAAGATGCAGTGCGTCACATTTCGCAATACCTTCTGGGCCATTTCTGCTTCTTTGCTCGTTATGTAACGTTGTAATAGGGGGGATGTTTACTGCAAAAATACGCCCGTCATGGAAATGAATTAAAAACTTTCTGCAACCTGTTTCCCAGCACTGATTCACCGTTTTTTTTGTCGCCCCTCCCCCCAGCACTGTACACAAATTGTTTTTTTTACAAATTTTTTATTGTTCACTTTTAATTGCGCCGTCCTTCACTCAAGGACAGTCTCTCCACCCTCCCCCACAGGTGCCGGAAATGTAACAGATAAAGTGCTACCTTGACCTACACGTAATGCTTCTTCTTTTTCAAATGCGCTCGACACAACCGTTCAGCAGCACGCAATGCGAATATCTGGCTGCAACTGCGAGCTTTGCCGTTCGTTATACAGTGAAGGGTAGCGACAAGGTTGCCAGACTTTTCGCCAAATAGCAGAGTTAGAAAATTTTCCATGCACATACCCTGTAGCGTGCAAAAATCGTTAAAAAGGGCGTATGTTCCATAAATAAAATAATTATATACATTTATTTTTTATAAAAAATAATGTACAACTGTTTTCTTTTCAAAACAAACCGAAGAATTTTTTAAAAATGTAACTACTAAACGATGTTCGTTTCTAATATTTGCAAAAATTAAACATGTCATACTTGACTATTAAAATTGTAGAACTGCGTTTTTACAGGGTATGCCAAGGTCGGTGCTTTACATAAAATATTCACACTTGTTGCCACAATGAACCTCAAATATTGACGCATTCAAATTATGTTTAAATGTAAGCGATAACATATATGCATATATATACGATTCTCATAAATGTTGACGCTTAATTAGAAATGTGTATATTTCTGTATAATATATACCCGCATGCACACGTGAGGTTTCCCACAGGCATTGAGTCGATGCAATAAATCACCCCCGACGTCACAAGGTGCAACAACAACAAAGAGCACAGCAGAAATATGAATACACAATAAATTGTTTTTTTTTTTCTTTTAAATTTATTAAAAAACAAATACATTTATGATGGTCGAATGTATTACGTTCAGTTGCAATCAGAAGAGGAATATCTGCAAGCAGAACGGATATATTAATCGGAATGTAAAGATTAGCAAGAGTTTGGGACGCACCTTAAACTTAGGCGCTCAGCAGGCAGACACCGCCGGCCTTCTTGATCTTGTCCTCAGCCTTCTTGGAGAAGTATTTGGCCTTAACGATGACAGGACGAGCGGGCAAATGGCCGCGGCCCAACAGCTTGTAGTAGCCCTGAAAAAAGGCAGCAAGTTATTAACTGATATTCAAAGTTTGGCGCTAGATATTTGTAATCCAGGTGTGGTTTTTGTTTTGATCTGAAAGGCTTTTCGCAACACGAGGAGAGCAATTGTACGGTCGCATTCAGTCCGCCCATCGCCTTCGGTGTCTCTTCATGTCAAACAAAAATCCAAGCGCAGATTGTTTCTCTATTCCAGCATATGGAATAAAACTTACAAATTGAACCAGATCGATAACTGGCGCCTTGGTGCTCTTCTCCTTCTCCAGTTCGGCGAACTTCTCAGGTCCGACCAGAGACCACAGTTTGTCCAAATTGATTTCGGGCCTGAACTTGTGCTGGCGGCGCAAATGGAAGTTCCTCATGCCGACCTTGCCGAAATAACCAGGATGGTATTTATCAAAATTGATGCGGTGATGGTGCATGCCACCAGCATTACCGCGACCTCCCGGATGCTTGCGGTGCTTGCCAATACGGCCATGACCGTGGCTGACGTGACCACGCAGCTTCCTGGTCTTCTTCCTCTTGATATTCGACTAAAATAGTTAAACAGCGATAAAAACAATTATAAATATTGGATATCATTGCACGTGCATGGACAGCGGCAACTGCAGACGGTGGCTATCAGGCTAAACACATGGCTGAGGTTATGTTTGCACGCCGTCGTCGCTTTTTTGGCGGTTTGCTCACTTTTGCTTATTTCAAGCATGCCACAATTTACTGTATTGCATGCCGCGCAGTTACCGCTCAGCTTTTACACATTCGCAATTGTTAATGCATTTTCTACATTGGTTTAAATCAATATTGAAATGCACAACTCATAGCAACATCCACTCACCATCTTCAGAGTTTTGGAAAGAAAGAAGTGAGCAAAGTTAGCTGCGATTGAAACTGTCACTGGAAACGATTGCAACGTTTTGCAGCACTGTAAGGTAATCGACTAGTTCGTGATTACTAGATATTTTACAAAATAATTCCTTAAACTAGGTTACACGGAAACTTATATCCAAATATATAAATAAATTATCTTAAATCTGAAACGTGCTGCATGCCATTTTATTTATGGAATATTGCCACAGTACCAACCGAGTACCATTGCCATCTTAATTATTTTCTGTCGATATATCGTTACAGTTTTTCGATATAATTTTCGTATTTTATATTCGAGTGTGTAGGTATTTTAGTGATTGCCGTGTGCGGTCACACTGCTGTTTATTTATGTTTAGTCGCTGCTGTCGAAAATTATTGCACATTTTAGTTTTATCAAATTAAAAGTGGCATTGAACAACGAATGCAGCTATAAAACTAAACAAATTGATATCGCAACACGAAAAGCAGAACGTCTATTCGGCAGCAGCAGCAGTATTTACGCGACATTTGGTACGGTATAGAGTGGCCGTGTGTGTTTTTCTAGTGTCTGCGGCGCTGTTGAGACCCAGAAATAGAAATTCTCTTGCCAAACGAAAAAGGCACTGTGTTATATATATATACATATATATTTGTATGTATTTACATATGTATATTGAGTGAAAGCGCGTGTTTTAGTCATATTTATGCGCGTGCCTAGGCAAATGCGCTCCGGCGGCGACAGCAGCCGCGCAAGATAAAAGTAAAAAGCAAAAAAAAAAAAATTGTGCGGGGAGCAGCAGCCAAAGGGGGCATCGCCTCATTACTCATCCGTCTATTTTGTGCGTGCAAAAACGACAAACGAAACAACAACAACAACAACAACGATTACACACAACGAACGACGACAAGCAGCAGAGGCGCAACAAATGTTTGTTAAAACGTAACAAAGTTAAAGGTAAGAAGAACAACAGCAAATCATAGAATTTAAGCAGAAGCTGAGCTTCCGAACAGAGTTGCATAGATCTAGGCGTGCTGCACTCTGACTCATAGGTGGCAACGCTTAACTATTGCATAGGCAAAGTTCAGTGGCATCGCCCATTCTCCACAATTGGATGCGTCACACAAGCTACACACACACACACACACACACACTCGCACACTCATTCAGCCAAAGCGCATCTCTATGACAAAGCCCAGGTGGACAAGATAACATGTTAACCATAGTAAAATTTCACGTAAAGATTTTTTTTTTTAAAAGCATTTCATGCATCGTTCCTTGAAAGACAACTGTCATGGCAGGTCTTCAGAAAAGTTCTGGATGAGACTTTTGACAATGTCAGCATAAAAAAAAACAGCATGTAAAAACCCATGCTGTCAACATCAGAGAATTTCCTACTGGGGTTCTGCTGCTGCTGCTGCTTGGCGCTGCATTGTCTACACTGCGCGACTGCAGCTCTGCCAGAAGAAGAAGAAGAAGCAGCAGCAGCAAGCGGGCGCATTTTCAACACATTTCTTGCTCCGCTTTTTCTAGCAAATGTTATTTATTGCCAAGCTGAAGTTGTTGCACTCTGCAAAAGGTTGAAGTGCCCGCCACTTATGCTGTACATAATCCATAGGGTCAATAGCTGGCAGGCAGTCAGCCCGTCTTCAAGTGGAAATGCCTTGTCCTCGACGTTGTTTGTTTGTGCTGGGCAAATGACACCACAAAGGAGTCCTCTAGGAGTCGCACAGCCGCTGCAGTGGCCACAAAGAACACGACACGGCCCCACTCACAGGCCCAAAGCCAATCCCCCAGCAAACAAATTTGAACTGTTGCCAAAAAAACAAAAAAAAAAAAAAAAACAGAAAATGTGCACGTCTGCACAAAAAAGGGAAGAAAATAATTTCGTCAGTTTATATTATTTACCTTGGGACTAAGGATTTGCAATGAGCATAAAGTCGGAGCACATAAAAAATGGTACGTCTGCTTTCTGCTTTTCCTAACGGTTGGAAAAGCTTAAAATGAGAGCTTTAAGTTGTGCATAGAACAGTTAGAGTTTAAATAGGAATCCAGGTTATTTTAGAGAGTTCAATTGAAATAGTAACTAAATTTAATAGCCTCTACTCGATCTTAGGGAAAAAGAGTTGTAATAAAATTTAGTCGAAAATCCATATCTATACATGAAAAGCTGCCTATTATATCTAACTGATTAAGTTTGATTGACTGATTGATGATAACGCATGGCCCCAATTAGTTTGTGCAGCAGTTAGCTAGTTTTTTATTGACGCAAGTGAATTCCAGTTTCACACCTTTCCGACAATTCACTCCAGTTGGTGAAAGATGGGAATCGACTCAAAATTGGCGCAAAAGCTCTCCATACAAAATAAATAAATACATTTTTGATCGATTTCGACAAATTTGGAAGTAATTCACTTTAGGTATCATGAAAAACTCTTTGACGCCCAATGCCGGACAATATTGGCTAGCATTACAGATATATGCATGTGCGTATATTTAACGCCCGACTTGTCTTATTATCTTATTGTTGACTTTTCATAAATGTCTTCAGAGTTATTTTTCTTAAAGAAAAATAAATATTTATTTAAATAAAAAAGCTATAAGAATATATATTCAATTATATTATATTTTCTGTATTATGCTTGACGTAAATGCTGGATATTTTATGATTTCATCTTAGCCCAAATATGTCATTGACTCTCCCTTTTCATTTATTAATATATTTTTCACGTCGTGTCAAAACATTTCAACTGTTTGCAGAGCATTTAGAACTGTTTCATAAATGAAATGCACTGTCTGCGGCATTCGAATTTAGTTTCCATCGCATTATTATTGTTATTTTGTGTGCATTAATGAAATCGTTTCATGAATATTTCAGCCCTCCCCCCTCCCAATCAAACGGAGAAATACAAAAACAACATTGAGAACCTTATGTGCCTTTGGTTTTTCAGTTTTCTGAATGCAAAGCAAATATTATTTTCCCCCTCAAGAGTGGGCATGATAACTATGTCATGCAGCATGTTACGCTTTGGGGTAAACGTATTCAGTTATGGGTATATATCTTTGATGTGAATAAGAAACCGGGTCGGAAATCTAGAGACTTGTAATTTGAAGATTGTATTTATTTTTGTGCATATCTT